CCAACCACCTACCTCAAGACAAGCCTTTTGAAGCTTATGTCGAGAGTCCAGCAACACCACCTTGCTCAAGGCAACCTCACCCTTTTTCCTTTATTCTGGCAACATCTATCACCCTTCTATCACCAATGGTCCGCCATCACAGCCGACGGGTCTTGGACCATTGTAAAGAATGGGTACTGTATCCCTTTTTCCTCTACTCCTCCACCCCACCCACCTTTCCTGTCCCTTTTCAGGGGCCCATCTCACGAGACCATCCTTCTACAGGAGGGCGAACACCTACTCCATCTCAGTGCAGTGGAACAGGTACCGCGACGATACGAAGGAAAAGGATTCTACTCCCACTACTTCCTTACAGGAAAGAAGTCAGGGGGTGGAGACCTATTCTCGACATCAGGAGACACAACAAACATATGCGACCACAATGATTCAAAATGGTCACCCTATCCACAATTATTCCCGCCTTGACCAAAGACAATTGGTTATCGACTGTTGACCTTCAGGATGCGTATTTTCATGTGTCCATTCACCCCTCACATTGCAAATACTTCAGATTTACAGTCCCTGGAGCACACTTCCAGTATACAGTCCTTCCGTTTGGACTTTCCACAGCCCCAAGAGTATTCTCAAAGTTGTTAGCGGTTGTTGGTGCTCACCTACGCAGGCAAGGAGTCTCCATGTTCCCATATTTGGACGACTGCCTGATGAGAGAGCACAAGCTTAGATGCACAGAAAGCAGTGTGTCTCACCAGATCTGTTTCACACTCTAGGATTACAGATAAACTTCTCCAAATGCAAACTGCAACCAACACAATAGCACGAATAGACTAGTAGCACTTTATAGACTAACAAAACCATCTACATGTTTTGTTAGTCTATAAAGTGCTACCAGACCATTTGTTGTTTTTTCTGTATGGACTAACTCAGCTACCCCCTGAAGCTTACAAACGATAGAGTTAATTGGAGCCTACTTAGAAGAGCAGCCTGTAACGTTACAGGCTGTTTCTAGCTTAGAAGCAAATTATTTGCAGACTGAACACACACAGTAAGCCCGGAGACTAGAGGAGCCGGGGAAAAAGCCGGCCCTGCTCAGGCTGCGAGCCGGTCAGATCGAATAGGCTGAGCGGGGTCAGAGACGGGACA